CACACCTCTGACCTATACCCCAATTCTTGTATGCATAAATAAATAAATCTTAATTAAAAAAAAACAAACACCGGAGAGGTTGCTACCAGTATCTAGTGAGTAGAGGCTGGGGGCTGCTAAACACCCTACAATACAGAGCCCCTCTCAGCACTACCCCTCCCCCCACAACAAAGAATTATCAGTTCTTTCTAACATGTCAATAGGATTGAGGTTGAGAAGCCCTGAACTAAAAGGAAGGACTTTGAAATATGAAGGAGCCAGGATTTCATGGTAAAAATTCTCAGTCTCTCCAAATGATGATAAAATTCAGGAATGATTGCCTCGCAAAGCTCACATTCAGGGCATTGCTGGGAAGACATGATGCAAACATGAAACTGAGAATGTGACTATAAAATATTCTGTTTCCACCTCAGAGAAGGCAAGGCCTCAGAGGCCCACTCAGTAAGACCGCCAGAAAATTACAGGTGTCTGGCTCAAACAATGGGGATTCTAGAAAGCGTAAGGGTGTAGCCTCTCAGCCATTGGAGCAGAAGCCTCAAAGAGAAGAGCTTATCTTTAGGAAGTTGTGGGCATGGCTTCTGTCTAACAGAGTGCCCTGAATAACATTCAGGGTGACTCACAAGTTCTTGAAAGGACTATGTGACCATAAACATCTTTGGCTTCGACTTACCGAGATAAAAAGTCTGAACTGAAGAGAGGATTTCTGGTTCTCAACAAGATGGAGCAGAGCCGCATTTCTCTCTGTCCATCCCACGGAGTATAGTTTTAAAAGCTGGGTATGTCCTGGGCCTCCCCGGTGGCGCAGCGGTTGAGCGCTGGGTTGCGCGAAGCTGCCCGCAGCCTCTGCAGCGCCGGTTTGATTCCCGGCTGCTCCCCGGCCACCAAAGGAGGGTCCCACATGGCATGCAGACCTCTCCTGCCGCCCGCTGCTCCCCTCAGCAGTGTACTTTGGTCCTTCTGCCTGCTCTGTTCCCCGCTCTGGCTCTGGTGAATTCTCTCACCCTCCCACGCTTCTGACTGTACCCAGTGCTTGTATAAATAAATAAATAAATCTTAAAAAAAAAAAGCTGGGTATGTCCTATAAAATAAATATAGGCAGCCCAGCTAGGAGCCCTAGTCCCCAGAGGATACAATGTGGGTCTCCTGGTTTCCATTTTTCTAGAGTCCCATAGAAACTTGCAACCATTTAGGAAATGCCAAACAGGCACAGATAGAAACCACCACCAGGAAAATCTGTTCTTTCGTGTCAAAGGACGGAAAGGACACCCAAGCAAGACATAAATCTTTGACAAGAAACGACCCACTCCAACAAAAGAGTAGAGGAAAAACTCATTCCCAGTCTCCACTGGTGTAGACAGAGGGGGAAATCAAGAGGGGAAAGCCTGGAGTTCAGTCTTTGGACTGTGGTAAAGAGGGGTGCCTCCAGGTGGTGACAGAGGAGGCCAAGTGAGGCGCCTGGGCTTCATCGCTACGCAGCGGTGACCCAGCACCTCTTTCTGTAATTTTCATGGTGTCATGGAGGACATGGAGCACCCTCGCTCTCTGCTCCCTCACCCTCTGCCTGCTCAGGCCTCCCCTCCTCACCTGCAGCTCCTGTCAGCTGGACTCTGACTCTGGTTGCTCTGAGGTCCTGGTGCCTGGCAGGCCGCGTCAGAGTCAGCTACACCTGCCACTCAGCCCCTGGGCACCCAGGAGTGCCCAGGCTTGTATGGTAATTCTGGTTTTTTGTTTGTTTGTTTGTTTTGTTTTTTAATGCTTTGAGGACCACCGTACTGTTTTTTACAGCGGCCACACCATTTTACATTTGAGAGTTCTACATACATTTTGGATCCCTGTGTCAGACATGCTTTACAAGTACTTTCTGCTAGACTGTGGCTTATCATTTCATTTTTAATGGTCCTTTAAAGAACAGATTCTTAATATGAAGTCCAATTTATCAGTGTTTTTATGGATTATATTGGTGCCAGGTCAAGCCATGAGCAGTCTGTGTCTTGCTGCCACTCTTGCCTCTTACTTTCTACTCCAGCAACACACAACTGTTTGCAATTCTCTTCCACACCTACATTTTTTAAATTCCCCCTGTTTTGAAAATGCCCTGCCCACCTCACACTCCTTTGCCTGGCCAGCCTCTCCTCCCCCTTCACTTCTCATCTCCACTTCAACAAAGGCCTCCCTGACTTCCTCAGCTGGTCCTCTGTGTTGTCAAAGATAATGCTATGTATTTCACCATTTTTTCAAAAACCACTTGGGCACCTATTATCTGCCAAGCACTATTCTAGGCTCTGAGAGGTTATCAATGAATAAAAGACAACAATCTTTGACTTTGAGGAGCGAGTCCACATGCCAGGGGTTCCTCGCCTTCCGGCTGTGTGTTTCTTGACAGCAAGCGTGTCTGCTGTCCTCCACCCCTGGCACACAGTGGGTCCCTGGTCCTGGGTGCCCAGGGGCTGAGTGGCAGGTATACGTGACTCTGATGCAGCCTATCAGGCGCCAGGACCTCAGAGCATCCAGAGTCAGAGTCCAGCTGACAGGAGCTGCAGCTGTGCTAGTGAGGAGGGGAGGCCTAAGCAGGCAGAGGGTGAGGGAGCGGAGAACAAGTGTCCTCCATATCTTTCTTCCAGAGTCACCGCCTCTGTTTCTTCCTTCTTCTGGACCACAGCAGCTGTCTATCCACCCCCCACCACCTTCACTAGAATAATAAAGGACATCTGTATACAAGAAGCTTCTCTGAGGGCCTCCCTGGTGGCACTAGGGGTTAAGACACAAACTATGAAGCTATCCGCAGCCTCTGCAGCACAAGTTTGATCCCAAGCCAGGGAGAAACCCACATGGTGCCAGCAGACCTCTCCTGACTAGCTCGCTGCTCCCCTCAGCAGTGTATGTCAGTCAATCTGCCTGTTCTGTTCCCCACTCTGTCTCTGGTGAATCCTCTCACCACCCCACACCTCTGGCGTGTCCCCAGTTCTTATATGCATACATAAATAAATCTTTAAAAAAAAAAAAAAGCAGCAGCAGCAGCAGCTTCTCTGAAATCCAGGCTTCGTCTGCAGCCCAAGGTTGGACTTCCAACTGGATCTACTCCAGGGCTTTAAGGAGTCCAACCACACCTAGGGCAGGCAGAGTTGAGCACGCCCTCTGAACACACACCTCTCTGCCCTAGAAGCGTGGAGGGATATGAAATGGTTTCCACACTGGGCTGGGCATCAGCTGGGCCCACTGAATGGGTGGTGCTGGAGAAGCTGTTGTTAACAAACTCTTCAGGTTAATCTGATGTGGCCAGCTGAGCACTAGGGCTTAGCGCAGCCTGTGTCCTTAAAGTCTGCCATGATCTGTGCCAGCCCTTCACCACATCTCCCTCTGCCCTTGCCTCCTCGCCCACCCTCTCCCCTTCCCTCACTTCCTTCAGGTCTCTGCCAACTCTCACCTTGTTGGTGACGATTTCCCCCCCGCCCACTTCTAGCAAAGCAAATACTCTACCTTGTCCTTCACGTCCCCTCTGCCCACACACTTACTTCCATCTGATCTGACAGCGGGAGGCTGGAACTGACTCATAAGCTTACAAAACCCTGTTACATTTTCAAAACTCTGTAGGCTGGGTGTTAAGCACAGCCATCATTAAAAATTAAATTACGTAAACTTAATTAAGTTAATGACATTAAGAACAAAGGTGAAAACGCTCAGACTCATCATTTCTAATTTTTTTAACTACCCTTCACTTATCTGTGTTTGTGTGTCTTTACACCTATAGAAATACAGTTGAGCTGTACACTGCATATATACTACCTAATGGTAACTACATAATATAGACTGTGTATACAGTGGTATGCAACTCTGCATTCAGTGATATCACATTGGTAGCTTGAAAAGCTACCAATAGGGGTATTTATACCACAGGGGTATGATAGGGGTATTTATACCACAGGACTAGGTAAATGAGATAAATCAGGCTTTGATATATTGTTATATTGATTGCGAAGACCAAGTTCAAATCCAGCCCACCAACTACTTTTGTAAATAAAGTTTTATTGGCACACAGCCATGCTCATGCCCATTCATTTGCATATTATCTTGGCTGCTTTCCCACAACAAAGGCAGAGTTTAAGTAGTTGCAACCAAAAGGCCTGCAAAGTTTAGCATATTTACTCTCTGGCCCTTTACAGAAGGAACATGAAGACCCCTGGGTTAGCCTTAAGAAAGTAAGGGAGGAAATGTTAATAATGCAGGTTAAATATAAACTTGTGTCCCTCTATAGCTGTTACATTGTAAATAGCAACACAAACAAAACTAAAAACATTCTTCCAGTATCTGACAACTGTGATCCAACAGAGTAAATAAGTCAATCATGTGGTTGATGAATGAGTGTACTTACAGCTTTGTTCTTTCACTTTCTCTTATTCTTTAGCACAAAGTCAACATTCATTTGGAACTACACTTGTTTGTCCACTACAGCCATAGGTTTGTTATGGGTATAAGAGTTAGTCGAAATTCAAGAAAAGAATACTCTGAGAATAAACTGGCTATCTGGAATTTATGAGAGTATTATAAATATTATTATTTTAGATTTCTAGCAGTAAAATTGATCATACTCACACATACACACACTTGGATTTGAGCACACACTCTTGCTTCTCCTCCACTAGACTGTCAGCTCCTCGAGGGCAAGAATTTTCTTTTATTCTAGTACTGCACCTGACGTGCCACAGGCACACAGGTCAACGCAGGGGTTGGGGCTCCTGGTCTCACAGGCCGACTTCAAGCCCTAGGTTTCCAGTGCCACCATTACCTAGCTATGTAAATAACTGAGTAAATTTTTAGCTTCTTTGAAGCATGGCTTTCTCGTTAGCCATACTAGATAACCCTCTCGCCTGGCAGGGAGGTGGTGTCAGTGCGGAGGGCTGTGGTTTCCCCACAGATGGGAGCTCCCCCCTCACCCTCCACCCGGCCACACACATATTCCCTGGAGACCCAGCCCTGCTGCTGTCACATATTTCAGTGATGTCACAGCTCCCCTCCCTGGGGGCTCCAGCACAGCCGTGCTGATGCCCAGCCTGACTGTTGGCTGAGTGGAGAAGGGCAGTGTGCAGGCAGTACCTGGTACCAGTCTTGCTCCAGCTGTCTCTGCGGCATCAGCCCCAGCATGAGTCCATCAGTAAAGAAGAGACCTGAGATTAGAGTGATTTCCAAGGTTGGGCTTCTGACTGGATCTGCTCTGGGGCCTTAAGGGGTCCAACCAGGGCAGGGGAGGGTGTGAGGGGAAGGACAAAGAGGGTGAGGGGAGCTAAGAACGGTCTCTCCTTTTCCACCCCAAACCAAGAAGACAAAACTCCCTGTCCAGGGTTGGTCAACCAAGCTCAGGTAAATGGAGAGGTTGAATGGCGGCGTGCTGGGAGCCTCCACCCGTGGTAATGCCCACTCTCTCTCTCTCTCAGAAGCAAGATAAGGAGTCACAGGACATTGTACAGAAGCCAGTCAGCACAGTAATTGAGCGGAACCGACTTAAAATGGTGAGATGCCTCCCCGAGGAGAGCCCCTGTGCTCCCAGATGCCTGGCTGAGTGGCCCCGGAGGAGTCACCAGGCCCAGCCCTGACATGAGCTGAGCTGGGCCAAAGTCAGGATGGGAAAGCTGAAGCTTCTCTTTTTCTGTTTTCCTGACCCTGGCAGGTGATAAAAAACTTGTCGCTCCTGAAAGTACTCAAGAGTTCAAACCCCCGGATCCAAGAAATGCACACCCTGGCCAAAAGGTGTTGGGAGTCACTGATCAGAGTCCCAAGGACCCCCCGGATCTCCTCCAGGTGAGCTTGGCCCTCCCGTGGCTCCCACCGTGGACCCAGTCGCTATCCTTACAGGAGCAGGCATTGTGCTAAGGAATTTAGAAGTGCCTAACTTTCACAAAGGCGCTGTGGGAAAGGCACACGTGAGCCCGTCTTCCTGGAGGAAAGCTGAGGCTCACGAGGTAACGTGACTGAGCCGGGACGTAGCAGGGTCAGGGTGCAAAGCCAGTTCCTCTCCAGAGCAGAGCTGTGGGCAGTGCCAAGGTCATAATTGGCCAGTTAGGGGAGTACCTGCTCCTTGTTTTCTCCCCTCCCCTCTCAAGGCAACACTCCTGAGAGTCCCCTGCAGACTCCCCATCCTGCTGAGGCTGTTTCACCTGCTAACTACTTCACTGGCTTCACCCTGTTTAGTTTATTCCTCACAATAATCCCATGAGGTAGACTGCATTATCCCGGTTTTACACAAGAGGAAACTAAGTTTCTGAGAAGTTAAGTTTCTTGCTCCAAACCACACAGACAGAAGAGGCAGAACTTGACCCTCCGTCTGTCTGTCTCTTGAGGGCCGGGTGCTCTCCACCCCACTCCTACTCTGCAGGGCTGTTGTGCAGCGCCAGGCCTGACACCGAGCGGGCACTCAGTCTACAGGAGCCATCACTAGTGTTGTCACCTGGAGCCTGGGGCCTCCCCACTACATCACACGCTCAGCTAGGACAGCGCTGCCACTTTGCAGGGGGCACAGTCCAAGGCAGACACCTTTTGGGGAGCCCATCCAGCACTCAGTGCCTCCTGTGCCTCTCTGGACCCATCTCCCTGAGTTGGCCTTTTAGACACAGTGAGTTAGCACCAAAAAGAAGCATCAGGATCATCTAGTCCACATTTCTCCGACCTTTTTAAAGCAGTGGAATCGCCAAATATCTGCCCCCAAGCCCCAATTGTGTGGTTGGGGTGAAGGTCTCTCCTGGGGGACAGGGCATTTGAGATAATGAAACAGAATCCTAAGATTTCTTGGGACACAATTTGAAAAATAGAACAGAACCCCCATCCACTGAAACCAGAGAGGCAGATCCCTCACCTAGTGACCTAGTGACACAGGCCTCTATCTCCAGGTGTCCTAACCACTAGCCATGGCCTTTTCCCAGCCTCTCGCGCCCCCAGCCTCTCGCGCCCCCTCTGCCAATACTTGTCACAGACTCTCCCACCAGGCACAATCACACCAGGGGCAGAGAGGTTTCTTTCCAGGCCACCTCTGGCTCTCTCCCCGCAGCTGGCTACACAGCACGTGTCTGGGCAAGAGCAGAGGACCAGGGCTTAGTCCTGCTCTGCTGACTGCTGTCCTCTCCCTGCCAGGACTGAGGTCCACAAGAACGTGAAACAAAATAATGCAGTGCTCCAAGGAGCCATGTGCCCCAAGAAGAAACTGAGGTTCAAAGGGGAGACTGAGGAGCCTGAGGGATCAAAGCCCAAGGAGAAATGGGGGAAGAGGAATAAGACAAAGGAGTCGCCTGCTGTAGAGCCACAGAAAGAAGAGCAGGTGGAACTTGAGGTCCCAAGGACATCACGGGATCGTGATCTGATCACTAGCCCTGGAGCCCAGGGTAGGAGACCACCGCTTAGGGACCCCCGAGTCGTCTTCCTGAAGATCCACCGGCACAGAACCCCCAAGTGGGACCCGAAGCAGCCAGAAGAGGCTGGCCAGTGGATCTGGTTTGAAGGGCTGCCCACACGTGTCCGCCTCCCGGGGCCCAAGGTGATGTGCAGATCGTCCACGCGGCGCTGGGTCAAGCGCTGCTGTACCCGCTTCTGCTCTGCATCGCTGGAGCTGCCTATGTGCCACCCCTACAGGGTGTGACATGGCCACTGCCAGGCCAGGGTGAGACACAGCCCCACCCCCATGCAGAGGTGGCCCCAGAGTCAGAGGGCTCCTGATTGAGCCTCCAGGGCTGGCAGTGCTGGGAGGCCCCAACTTCCTGCCCAGAAAGGGAAGCCCAGAGAAGAGAAGCCCCTGACCAGGGCCACACAGCAGGTAGCTGTGGCCAGGTGGGGGGCTTCTGGGATCCTCCTCTGAGGTGGGGTGTGAGGTGTGGGTTGTGAGGGGGCCACCCCACTGCCTGGAGGCCTCAGCAGGGCCCATAACTGCTGTGACTCAGACCCTCACACAGGTCTGAGTAAGCGAGTTTAGGGATTTCCAAATGTGGGGGAGGAGAAGTGGCTAGTGAGGCGCTGCCCCGCCCTCTGAGAACAAATCAACTCTCCATGTCTTATTTATTTAAGCCCCAGATAAGATTATTCTGAGCAAACAATGGGGAGAAGGAGCGTGCGGAACAAAAGGCAGAAGCTATCCCAGCCCCTCCAAGAGAAAACTGAGGTCCCGAGAGAGGGAGGGAGTGGAGGGCCTGGGGCGCCGGGGAAAGCGGGGTTCCCCTGCAACACCCAGCTCCCGGCAGCCGACCCCCGCCCCGCCGCGCCTCGGCGCTTCCCGAGCCCGGCCCGGGCGGCAGCGCCCCCTGCGGGCGGCCCGGGCGCCTGACTAACCCGCGGTCTCCGCGCAGGTGCGCGACCCGGGCGCCCGCCGAGCCGCGAGGAGGGGCAGCGACCGCGATCAACGGAGCCCCAGGGGGGTGGGAAATACGCGGGTCTACAAATAAAATCTCCCGCGTGACACTGACGACTGTGCCGCAGGCGCTGCCTGTTTGTCTGGGGCTGACCCGGTGACGGCAGGCGGCGCTCGGCGGGGTGAGGCGGGCGGGAGTGTGACTCCAGGCTCCCCCCGCCCCGGCCTCGAGGCCGGCGAGACCCGGGACGGGACGCCAGGGGCCGCGCCCTTCCCCTGCGGGCCGGCCCCCGGGCGGGGAACTCCGTGAAGTCACAGAGAAGGGATTTGCCGGGGGCTGCCCCTTGTCTCACAATGGCCTGCCAACCTAGGGGTCAGGAGAGGGGCCGAGATGGGGAGTGGCCCGCCTGGGCTCACACTGCTAGGAAGAGGGGGACAAGAAAGCTCATCTAGGTCCCCACTGGCCCCCAATCCATTTGCAGAAGGGGGAAAGGCACAAGGGAGCGTTCAGCTCTCAAGGCCCTGCCTGGAGCCCGGATGGCTGCGTTGGGGTCAATAAATGGGTGTCATGTGGGTCTAGAAATGTGCCCACCTGCCTCATCCCACTCCCGAGAGCACTGAGTCAGGTGGGGGTTGGTGCTGCTTCTCTACTGCTCCCCTGTGGCAAGCCGCGCTCACCCTACAACCCAAGCTGGGGAGGTCGGAGGTCACCCTCTGTAGGCGGGAGTCATGGGCTGGGGGAGAAAAACTTCAGGACCAAGACCGTAGCTCTTCCGGGGGAGCCAGGAGGGTGATGGAGAAAATTGGAAGAGACGAGAAGGATGGATAGGGGTCCCCCCCCACCCAAACCCAAGGGCACTGTGGATCCTTCTGTGACAGGACAACCATGGCGCAGGTGTGGGAAAAAAATGGAACTTGTTTCCCTGGGGGCCGTATGGACAGCTGAGGGGTGGGGGGCTGAGGCATGACTTCTCTTCTGGGTACTGCTGGGCCCTGTAAGGTAAGGCAGCCAGGAGTCTCGGCTGTGTTTCTCCGATGCCTGTGGGCATCCTGGAACTTTGCTTCCCCTCTGTGCACCCCTCATCCCCCCTCCCCCAACTTCCTGACCAACCCACTACCCTAGTAAACCTCCATTTGTAGCTTTTCCCACCCAGTCTGCACTCATCCCATCCATTTCCAGAGTTGTGTCTATTTTGGTTTCCTTTCTGGACATCACCAATTCCATGAACATTTGAAAGAACCTTCTACTCCATATTTCCTCTCAAGCACCTACCACTCTGTCATCCTCTAAGTGAACTGCAGCCCTGCCCAGTCGGCAGCCATGGTTAGGGCAACACGCTCCCAACCAAGAAACCAAAACCAGTGGGAGATGGGGGTGGGGATGAGGGGCTGCACTAGTCTTCCTGGGAGGCCCAAGAGGGGGCCAGAAAGGCCTGGGCTGGGTGAACTTGTCAATTTCCACCCCACTGGATGCTAGAACTGGGCCCAGGCTGCCCACCAGGAAAGCCAGCCAGCAGATAGGAGCCTGCGGGCCTGGGCTGGGAGCAGTGGCCAGGGCGCCACTGTGGAGCAAGGTTAGCCTGCGTTCCGGAGGAAACCCTAGCAGTTCATTCCTTCCGGCTTCATCTCTACTGCGCTGGCACTTGGGCCTATAGCAACCTGCTTCCCACAGTCCCACAGTCTGGGTCTCTCCACTACTGCCCTTCCTTTGTTTAACCAAGCCAAGGCCCCTCTTCTAGATCTTTACTTGGGCAGTTAACTAAGGGAAAAATTAACTTCGAGTGTTTGAATCAGAGTGACTCTTGAGTCACATGACCTCTAAAAAAAGCCCGGTTCATCTATTTAGAAAATGAGGATACTAAGCTCCATTTCAGATGCTTTGAGCAAATGAGGCTTGATGTTGGTGAAGTCTACATCATCCACAGGCCCATAAGGGTGAAGAAATGCTTGGCCTTTTCCCTGCCACCTCCCTGGCCCCGCACGTTAATGAAATCTCAAGGCAAGGCATGGCGCTGGCGCTGTCTCTGTTATAAGCAGCTGCCAAGTTGCCCACTTTCAGGAACTAGCAGCACTTTCAAAAGCCCATCTGAGGTTCACATTCACAACCTTTTGCTGAAACGGTATCCAGATTCCTGAGAATATCTCCCCCCACCCCCATCTGGCTCATTTACCACTCAAAGGTGATTAGAACACGAAAAGATGAGGCTTTGAGGCAAACAGGACAAGCTTCCTGTCAGCGATGTGATGTTAGAGAAGGCAGTTCACCCCTAGCGCTCAGTTTCTCTGCCTGCAAAGTGAGGGAAGTGACGGCGCCTAGCTCATCGGACTAAGTGGCCACTGACAGCACACTCGGGCGGGCTCCAGAGAAACAGCAAAGGTTTCAATGCCAAAGTGGGTCTAGGCCAGTGTGTTTCTCCGAGCAATTCAGAAACCACAGGTATGAAAGAAAAACTGGGTGACAGGGGTCCATCCAAGGCCTAGCAGAGGGGGCTGCGGGTAGAGGGAGTGGGACAAAGGAGTCCCCTGCACTCAGTATTTTAACCAAAAGAAGAAGAATCTGGGATCCAGGAATGGAGGTGTCCTAATAATTCTTGACAGCTCCCTTGTCTGGCTATGTGGCGGTCTCAGTCCCAGCCATGGCATTAAAAAGTAAGTACAGGCAAAATTGTGGAAAATACTGTATTTATATACCTGGGAAGGACAGCTGCAAGCCCCTCACAGAAAACACCCCACTCCAAAGAAAATTCTTAGCAGCAAATTCCTATCTCCCACGGCACTATCAACACAGCTCAAGCTGCGAGGTCAGGCACCCACCATTCCCTTCCCACTGGAGAATTCCAAATAAGGCAGGAACAAGGAACTACTGCCTGAGTTCCGGTGAGAGCCGGGCTGTCTGGTCATTCCTCGAGAACAGGCAGTGACCCAACTGTGAGGATAAGACAGGACGCGATGGATGCTGGGATTATTCTCTGGGTCCTTCTTTGCTATGTTGAAAGCTGGCAGCAGGGCGGGGCCCAGCAGAGAGAACTGAGAGTCAGTCACGGATTCATGGGTCTGGACGAGTGGAGCAGTGGAGCAGGGCGCGGGCCCTCCCGTGCACTTCCCTTGTTCCTGATGCCTCCACCTGCTGCCGCTCCCTGGCAGCAGCTAATACTGTGCACCTACATCTCTTTCTGTGGCTGTGGATCCGGAAACCGTTTCTCCAAACAGAATAGCCGTGGTTCGGCAACATGACAAAGGTCAGAGCTGTCCCAGGGAGGCAAGATAGAAGACTAGAAGAGCAGTTTGCTCCAATCATAGATCCTTGATTTTTTTCTTTTTTAAAATAACAGGCTGGTGACAGGTATGATGGCTCAAGAGTGACATGGTTCCAACTCTGTCATTCCCCTGAAAGAGGTCCCCTCGCTGACCTCCCAGATACCAAGGCTTCGGCAGTCAGAGGCCATCCTTGCAGCTGTGATCTGCTTGCTACCTGCCTTCTCCACCAGGCCTCACTCACTCTCCCTCACCAACAGAGACTTCACATTTGCAGGGTTCCTCTCAGACCTGGGCCCAACCTCATCTGGAGGTTCTGAGCAGCCCAATGTGTTGGTGGTGGTGGTGCGGGGGGCGAGTGGGCCAAGTACCCAGCAGGGTATCCAAAGGGCCCCATTCTAGACATTGGATTTAGGGGCCGAGTTGAGGGGGATCTCCTTGAGCTCCGTCCGCATGCACAGGTACTCCCCGATGACAGCCATGAGCGCAATGCACACAGCTTGCACTAGCCACCAGGTCAGCGCCGAGGGGAACCGGGAGCTGTAGAACCAGCAGCCCAGGAGGTGAAAGAAATGGACAGTGACAGTGAAATCCAGACACTGCTTCCCCCGCCGGATGAAATACAGCAAGCCCAGGGCACTGTGGGGAGAGGACAGCAGTGAGTTGTCACTGGGTTGTCCCGGCCTTAGAGTACGTTATTTGGGAGTGGGGGCGATTACACAGGCAGCAGAGTGTACAAAAGCAAGTGAGAGAAATGTAAAGGGTTACAAAATTAGATGCCTACAGGACCCTAGCAGCTAATGAGGAGTGAATCAGGCTAGGGAGAACTAATACAGAAAGTACTGACGATAAATGTCAATGGTCGCAGGGAATCCTCGGGATTGGTGAGGACTGTGGCACCCTGAAGCATACAAGTTCCTTCTAGAGTGGGAACAACAGCTGCTTGCAACTGGGCAAATCGCCATGCTAGAAGGTTGGCTTAGAGTCAATTCATCTTCCCATTTTTTCTAGAGAAGCCAGAAATCTGGATTTATTTTTATATAAAATATCCTGATTTTCAACTAACTGAAAAAATATTTTAAAATACCATGTGTGGGCTGACATCAGTGTGAGCCAAAAAGAACCTATATAGGAGCCAAATTAGGTCAAAACCCAGCAGTTTTCAACCTTGAGTATACGGTTAGAAATGATAACATGGAAGACACTGTTCTAGGTATGTCCCATGAATTAACTCATTGACTCTGTACCAGTATGAGGTGGGTCATATCATTGGCTTCACTTTACTGATGAGGAAACGAGCTAAGACAGATTAACTTGTCCACAGTCACTAGACTTGAGGTAAAGGTGAGATTCAAAGACAAGTGAGTCTGCCTCCTGAGCCTGAGATCTTCATCACCAGGATAAAGCGCCTCTCAGGAGACAGGCAGTGGTCATGAGTGATCTTAGATGTCACCCAGCCATACCTCTCCATGTGCTGATGGGGAGCCCAAGGCCCTGAGAGGAGGAGAAATGTGGAGCACAGACCAAGACTAGAACCCAGTTCTCCTGACTTCCAATCCAATTCCTCACTTCATTCCACTTCAGGGAAGCGATCTGAGAATGGAAGATGTCCACAGGCCGCATGCACAGTGACGTAAGAGGTAGGCAAGTCACAACAGCGATGGACGATGCCCTATGATGGCGCCAGTCCCAGAACTAGCCTCTGCCACCCACTTGCATACACCAGTCCCCTGAACAAGCAGCAGTCTATCACACTCCAAATTTAGAAAGTTAGTTCCATTGCAAGACCCCAAAAGCTAGAGAGCAAAACTGGTGATACTCACCAGGTGAGGGCGTTAAGGACGAAGGACATCATGGAGAGCCGGCCTGGAGGAGTGGAAAAACCCAGGATCTGAAGGAGAATCACAAGGGAAAAATGCCAGAGAAGTGTCTTGGCAGAGCCACTGGTCCCAGGATCCCTGCAGGCCTCCAAGGAACAAGCATTCTTCCCATGGCAGAGACAATTCCGCCCACCCCTCCCCTTCATCTGTATGGCAACCGATTTCCAACAAGGTGTTTTTGCAGACATCCATCATGGTATCTTATTTGACCCGTCCCAGCAGCTGGGAAAGGGTAATTATCTCATCTTACAAAGGAGAAATAAAAGCTCAAGAAGAACATGCCCAAAGTGATATAGCGTCTAAATAGCTAAGGGTAAGATCTGAAACAGTTCAGCAAAATTGAGAGTCCAGGGCCAGGCACTGATTTTTGTAAATAAAGTCATTCAAACAATGCCACCCTATTCCCTTAGTACTGTCTAGGGCTGCTTGGGTAAAACAAAGTCAGACTTGATCAGTTGTGATTTTTAATAAAGTCTTTACGATCTTGCTGTTTAGGAAAAAGCTTGCCAAACTGTGGTCTAGAATTCAGGTTGTGTGCATAAGATGGCTCTTTGACAAACATCCAGGATTCCCACATGCCCTTTCCAGGAGGACAGAGGCTCCTAAGAGTTACGACTAGACACCTGGTGGGTGTACAACCTTTTGACAAAAAAGTGCTGAATACCAAACACCTGCACAATACTCTCAGTTCACAAAGGCCTCCAACATCCATTATCTCATAACACTCTCCCAACAACCTTGCAAAGTTATTATTGTTACTCTTAGCTCTTTTTAGATCATAAATTGCCCATGGGTTATACAAAATAAGTAGCAGGACGAGGATTCCGTCCTTGGTCTCCTGGCTCCAAGAACAGTGTTCATGATCCTATAACATATCTCAGGTCTCCATTATGCTTTATAAAGCACTTTAGTATTTTAGGCCCTCTGACATAACATCTTGCAGAGGATTATTCTACCCAGGTTCCAGCAAAAGAACCAGGCTCAGAAAGGTGAAGCCACTTGCCTCAAGTCCCACAGCTAGTGTGCTTGGGCCTAGACTGGACACTAAGTCTTTCTAAATCCAAAGTACAGGCTCTTTGCAGTCCACGACCTCTACACTACTGGTCTCGTTATTTTGCAGACAGGAAAACTGAAGTTCAAAGAGGTGACAACACTCGCCCCAGGTCACCAAGTAGTAAATGGAACTTAAAGGGAAGCCAAAGTCCAGGCAGTTTCCATCTAACCCCTGGGAATGTTCTTTTATCTCTCCTCTTTCACAATCTGGCACCTGAGAATCTGGGGCTCAGCAGAGAACTCACTTCCTCAGAGTGTCAGGAGATGTACCAGGATGCCCGGAATGCACGCCCGTTTGTTGGAACAGGTCCTGTCCATTGTAGGAATCGACCTCTCTTACGGTCACTTCATTGTATGGACGGGGCACCCGAGATTCGGAGAAGTAAGATTCCCTTTCCAAGGGCCACAAATCAGAAAAGGTGGTCCAGCGGGTCTAGAGCCCACCAGGGTCGGGTCACAAACTCTCTCCATCCCTGGGGACAGGTGAGGCCGAGACTCCGCCGGCGCCGGCACGGGGCCCCTACCTGGTCGTCGAACATCTGGTCCAGCGAAGGGCTGCTGCGAACCAGCGCGTCCACCAGCGCCAGCCACAAGCCCAGCGAGCCGTAGTAGACGGTCTGCATGAGGACGATCTGCGACAGGATCAGTAACGGGTCCCACACGTAGCTGCGGAACTGGCCCGCCATGCCGGCCCGCGGGGTCCCGCCGTGCCCGGACCCGAGTCAGCGCCGCCGAGCCATGGACCTCGGACGTTCACCGCACCTGCGAGGACACACGCCGGGCCTCAGCCAGCCGGCCGTCACCATGGCAACGCCGACCCGCCGGGGGGACAGACAGGCGGGAGGGGGGCGCGCCCGTCCTAGGAACTGGAGGGGCAGCGAGGTGGCCAGATCTCCCCCCGGAGCGAAGAGGAATCCCGCCCAGCCCGGAGGCCCGGCTCCCGCCCGCAGTTAAGCTCCGCTGGGGTTCACTCACCGTTGGCCGACTCGAGGGGCCAAGCGTCGAGGCGCGGCCCAGCCTCACCGGGTGGCCCCCCCAAACAACACTGACAGACGGAACCATGGAGGAGAGGCCCTGGCGGCCTAGAGAGGCAGCTCCCGCGACAGCCGCTGCCGCAGCGACTGCGTAGGAAAGAAGCGTTTCCGGGGACGGCGACGAAGAGGCGGGGCTGGTGATGCGCAGGCGTACTGGCCGCAGTCTCCTGAGAGCCACCTAACGCGAGGCGAGGGCACCGGGGAGTGACGTGCGCACATGCGCAGAGGGAAGAATGAAGGCGACCGGAAGTGAGGCGAGAGAGCCGTAGAGCATGACTGCCCTCTAGAGGGGAGTCTTGAGGAACACGAGGACGGCTGGGGAAGTGAGCGGGAGGCCGAGGACCAGGGAAAGGTGTTTGGGATTTAACGAGATGATGAACGTTGACTCTGTTTTCAGTCTAGTTTCCTCATGTCTATTTTTTTTTAGTTAAACTCTGGAGTAATTTAATATGAACCTTCCAGGGCCTCCCTGGTGGCGCTGGGTGTAAAGATGCAACCTATGAAGCAAGTCGCAGCCACTGCAGCACGGGTTCGAGCCCCAGCCAAGGAGCTACCCACATGGCGCAGCAGACCTCTCCTGGCTCGCCCGCTGCTCCCCTCAGCAGTGTACTTTGGTCAATCTGCCTATTCCGTTCCCCACTCTGTCTCTGGTGAATCCTCTCGCCCCACCCACCTCTGGCCTGTACCCCAGTTCTTGTTTGCATGAATAAATATTTTTTAAAAATATATGAAACTTCCAGCCATTCCACACTTGATTTCGCCACTCTCCCTAGTTTACAGATTGAACTAAGGGCCAGAGAAGGAAAGCAACTAGAGATACTGAGTTAGCGGCAATCAGGATTAGAATTCGGGTGTTTCCCACAGCACTGATTTCCTGCCTGCTGGATGCCAGGAACACTTGGGCATTGTCAAATGAAATGATCCGAATCCTCAGACACAACCAGAGTAGTGAGTATTTTGTAACGTGGGTATTCTAATGGGGGGGTAGGCACAATCTCTTAGTAAGTGATAGGTGGGAGCAGACCCTGACTCGGCTTTACGTCAGGAATGTTTGTCTGTTCCTTCTCCTCTAAGCCCCAATAGTGTGGTCAGTAAATATTTATCGAATGAGTCAACTGAGAAAGGGCAACAACAAGTTGATGAGTCACTTTATTTCTGCACCAGCCGATCCAAACCCCTCAACTTCTTTGATTCTAGATTCCCCTTTTCCCCAGCGGAAGAGACGGAAGTAACTAAAATCCAGGGGAAAATCTGGAATGTTAGAGCCAGTTCTACTAGCTGTGTGGCTAGCAAGCTACTTCCTTCTTTAAACCTCAGTTTCTCTGTTTAAGAAATTACAGGTTGGACAAGATTAATGTTTTCCAACATTCAATCTGCCCTTCACTAATTATTTTACCATTAAAAAGAACTTATCAAAGACCCAGGTAACTGCCAATCAGAACTGCGGGACAGTAGGTGATAACTGTGTTATCTCTTTGAGTTGATACAATTTCCAGACAAAAGTAAAGAAACTTGAGACTTTATCAAGAGTAAGTATGTGATTTCCCTTATCATTTTGAAATACTGTAAACAGTTCAGTTGAACTGGAAAATCATTAAGACCCAAAGATTTCTTAAGTGCTTTCCACTTTAATTTTTTTTTAGGTGCCTCAATTCAGTTCAACAAAAATATATTTATTCGAATCCCTCCAGTCCACTCACTTATTACTCACATGATCTAGTGTTTCTGAGAAAACATCTTCTATTATGAAGTATCTATGTGATAGTGTTGTAGCCTCACAGACTGAGAAAATAGATATTATCCCCCCTTTTTAAAGGAAAGGAAGCTGAGGCTCAGAGAAGGGGCTTGACTCCAGCTAGGTCAGAGAACTCCTGGGGGTGCTGCCCTGGGATTCAAACCCAGGACATTGACTACAAACACAAATGCCATTTCAGGGGAAAAAGAAAAGAAAGGAGGGAGACCTAATAATAGGTAGTGGAAGTGGGAGGTAGGGAGAGGAAAAGGAACAATGAATACCTTGTCGCAAATTGCTCCAGGGTGAGAGATTAAGGAGAGATGGAAGAGAGGTTCAGGAAGTGTTCCAGGGGGTTAACATAAATCCCCTAGTGGCAAGTGGTGCTTCCTCTTCCTTCATGGTGCTGGCAAGTGTGGCCCTTCCTGGAGTCTGGTGCCTTTTGCCACACCTAGGCCTTCCCCATCTTCTCCTGAAGCCAGGCCCTTCCTACCTGTTCTGAAATGGAAAGCACAGGTAGCCTGAATCAGGAGGAGCTGAATGTGTGATGTCATGCCCGGAGCAGCTGACATCATCTCTGGAAAACCCCATCTGGCCTGCAGGACAGCCTGTTTCAGATTCCTTTCCCCTTTAAGATTTCAGCTCTTGATTTCCCATCTTGCCTGAGCCCCGGAAATGAGTGCCATCCAGTGTCTTAATTTGGGTCCAACAAAGAAACCAAAAGCTGGAGAAACCCACAGTAAGTCAGTCCCTGGGCCAGCCTCCTTGGCTCGTTTTGAGAATGTGACCAGAGGCACTCCGGACAGTAAGAAAAAGCTCTGGGTTCACATCACAAAGCCCAAATTAGGGTCCAAGTGACTTGCCTCTGGCATGTCCCATGCTGGGTCTTAGTATCTCAAATTATGCAATGGAATGGACGCCAGCTTCCAAGCGCAGTTCCCGGCCCCGGTGCCACCTCAATAATCTGAGGAACATGTTAAATGCGCAGAGTCGCAGGTCTTGTTGCAATCTGAGGTCTGAAGGCAGAGTGCAGAAATCTGTATTTTTAAAGAGTTCCCGAGTGATTCAGAGGCACAGTCACACTGGGTAACTAGAGAACGAAATGATCTGTCAGTGACCTCTCACCAGCTCTTCCCTCTAACAGAAAATTGCTCCGTGACCTTGCCAGGCCCATGCCTCTCTTTGGGCCTCAGGGTTGTTTTCCATCTGTAATATGAGGGGGTTGGGCTAGAAGAGCTGATCTCCAAGGGCCCTTCCTACGCTGCCAAGTCTGTGGTCTCAACTTATGAATGAAATTTAAACTTTAGGTCAGAAGCAGAATGACGAACAGCCACAAGCTGGGACACACTGTCCTCTGGGTGCAGGGCTGCTCGTCACTCTCACACTGGGACTCCGTTGTGGGTACGTGAGGACAGTTACAGGGCGTGCTTTCCATATCCACACCCACCAATCCCTTGGGAAATGTCGGGGTTCTACTGCTGCCTGGCCAGGTTGAGGGGGGGTTTACATCATCTGAGCCTCAGTGTCCTCCTCTGTAAAATGGGGATCGTGTACTTCCTAATGGAACTCCCTAATATGCAGTCAAACAATGAAAATGTTAGCGATATTAATTATTGCTATTATTTCTTCCCTTGGGATGTGGGAGCTGTAAGATTTATCTGTCAGGTGACACCTCCTGCTCCCACACAGCACTGCCTGGTACAGTGGTAGAGTTCAGTGAACGCAGCCCTTCTCCTCTCACCACCCCGCCCCAACCCCCTCCCTCCCCCCTCCCTCCCCCCTCCCTCCCCTCCCTCCCCTCCCTCCCCCCTCCCCCTCCCTCCCCTCCCTCCCCTCCCTCCCCCCCTCCCCCTCCCTCCCCCCTCCCTCCCCCTCCCCCCTCCCTTCCTCTCTCCCCCCCTCCCCACTCCCCCCCACAGCTGCCAGCCTTGCTGCTTGCAGTTCTCTTTCAGGGAATGTTTAATGCAAACACCTCAGGGGGGACACGTGTCTCAGGTTATGCAACTCTGCGCTCACACTCTGGAAACTCCTTGTGGGAGGCCAGCGTTGGGCTGCTTGATCTGAGCATGGGTGAGCGCATTGGGCTTGGGCTAGTGAGTTCCTTACTTGGAGAAGGGAAACTGGAAAGAGAGGAGGAAAGGGAGGGAGGGAGGAAAGGAGAGAGTGAAAGACAGAACAAGCACCTATCCCTTCCTCCCGCTCGTTTTCTCCTCTACACAGAGAACCCTTTGTTACCCAATCTGTTTTATTTTTTAAATTTTTTTTAAAAAGATTTATTTATTGGGCCTCCCCTGGTGGTGCAGCTGTTGAGCGCTGGGCTGCGAAGCTGCCGGCAGCCTCTGCAGCACCGGTTCGATCCCCGGCCACAGGGCGAGGGTCCCACATGGCGTGCAGACCTCTCCTGCCGAGCCAGCTGCTCCCATCAGCAGTGTCCTTCCTCAGTCTGCCTGTTCTGTTCCCCGCTCTGGCTCTGGTAAATCCTCGCACCCTCCCGCGCTTCTGACTGTACCCAGTGCTTGTATAAATAAATAAATAAATCTTGAAAAAAAAGATTTATTTATTTATGCATACAAGAGCTGGAGTACAGGCCAGAGATGTGGGGGCTGGGGCGGGGGTGAGAGGATTCACCAGAGACAGAGTGGGGAGCAGAACAGGCAGATCTATTGAAATACACTGCTGAGGGGAGCAGCGGGCGAGACAAGAGAGATCTGCTGAACCATGTGGGTTGCTCCTTGGCAGGCCGGGGATCGAACTTGTGCTGCAGAGTCTGTGGGTTGCTTCATGGTGCTGTGCTTAACCCCTTGCGCCAACAGGGAGGCCCCACAAACTGTTTTAAAGGCTGTGTGTGCCTGCATTTGGGGAGGAACATTTGCTGAGTCCCTACTGTGTGCATGATACATATATTATCTCATTTAACCCTTATTTAATTTTTTTTTTGGAGAACAGAAAGGCAGATTTATTGAAATACACTGCAAAGAGAAGCAGTGGCAAGACAGGAGAGGGCTGCAGTGCCATTTAATTTCTAACATAGGCTTGTGAATTGCTGATACAATTAATAGTCCCACTTAACACATACGCAGAGGCTGAGATTCAGAGAAAGGACACCATTTCCTCAAAACCACACCACCCGTTAGTCTGACGCCACACACTCCCTCCTCCTCCCAGTGCCCCATAAGAAGTAGACAGTACAGTCCCCAGAGGGCTTTCGCCCACATAGCCTTATCTCAGCGTCCCCGTCACCCTGGGGAGGCAGGTATATACAGCTCCCATTTTATAGATGAGGAAACTGAGGCTCAGAGAAGGAAGTGATGGCCACTCAGTCAGTACTCAGCTGGAGTGACCAAGGTTGAAAAACCTCTGGAGCTTTGGTCTTTCCACACCAGGCACCTCCCATACTCTCTTAT